TTTACGATATGCTTTTTATTTTAAATCTAATATCTCAGCTTTTCCAATATTTCACAACTCTTATTCTTCTTTAAATTTCTTCTTATATTCGATCTATTTCAAATACATTCTTCTCTTTAATTCTCGAGTATTTTCATCCAGCAGTTCAAGTTTAAGTTAAGCTAGTTATTATACTTTTGCCTTGAAACCTCTTTTGGACATTATAAGATAGAACTTTGACAAATTATCTATTAGCTGATGACAATCATCATGATGCAAAATTCTATCTCTAAGCCATTTAGATATTTGATTCTTAATTCCTCCCCAACCGAATCTTTAGTCTACTAAAATAATTGATCCGTAATCTTAAACATGCCTTATAACTCTTCCAATAGCTTAATTTACTGCTCTTATTCCACATTGTGAATACCAATCTTTTCCGCTTAATCTCATGTACTCAGATCTCTTTTCTTCCAATTTCTTATCAAGATAATTTCTCTTGAGAATCACCTTAGGATCTGTATAGAGTGGATATGGTATTCCAACAACAATCACGCATCTTGCAGCATTATCAGAGAAATCAAGACCTTCACTAATTCTTCCTCTGCATACTCCCATCAATATTGCTCCATTGTTAGACTCATTTTAGTCTTCATTAAATATGGTTTTATAGTATGAATCCATTGTCTGCTTATAGTTGATAAGTTCCTTTGGTTCCAAGAAAATACGCTTAAATTTCTCAATTTATTATTTGATATTGCTATTCTCCCATAGCTCATCACATTTTCTTAAATATCTATAAGATGGAAAGAATACAAGTATTCCTCCAGGAGTAACCTTACTTATTTATTGAATACTTACTCCCAAATCTATCAAAGCTTTTTCATTTTCTCTGTTCTGGTAAGAAAAGTTAAAAGAATTCTATTTGACGCCTTTTGTAAGGATGCTAATTTAAACCTAATCTGTGCTAATAACATGAGGATTCTCGATTCATTGGTTGAATTTTAACTAAAGTTCTGCTTGAAATGAATTCATTGGAGTTAAAGTTCCAGAAGTGAGGATTATAGACTTTGGCTAGAGTGTTTGTAACTCTCTAAAACATATACCAGCGTTAAAGCACCAAAATGCCAATATCCTTTTGCATGTTTTCTGAAGAAAATAAGACTTCCCGCTTCTTTTATTCTTATTGAAATGCATTTGCTAATTTTCTTCCTCCTCTTCATAAATGTAGACATAATAGTCGTCTGCATCATTTTATTTGTCATCTCCCTAAGCATTATCCTCTCTATCAATTGCCTCTAAATTCTTCTGACTTAGAGGACCTTAGCTATGAAGATTCATAATTTTCTTAAGAATCTCATAAAGATTTTCTAATGTTGTTCGAGTTTCAACATACTAAACTAGATGTAAGATAACTTTAATAATATTTACGTTCAGAAATATCTAGAAGGCAACTTTCTATGATTTTCATCCATTTAGACCAATCACTCCTGAGATCTGTGGACATCCTATCTTGAGTTTTATAATCAATATACTCCACTATCAAATTTTAAGGAGTACTATAACTTACACTTAGATCCTTCAAAAATAATTTCAAAGATATATCTACCTGGCATAACAACAGATGGACTTCCACTCATATTCTATTTGTCAATATAGAAGTCCTTAACTTTTCTTTAATCAAGATCGTAATCATCTAAATAATTTTGAAGGTTTTGGATCAACTAAATCAAAGTGTTTGTTTCGTCAGAAGTTGAATTAAAGCTAAAGTCTGTACGAATTAGTCACTCATCCTATAACTTTTGTAGTTCTAATACTACAAATTCAAGTTATTTTGTCTCTAATTCAAAACTTGATGCATCTTCAGCTTGTTGAGGTACATTATGAGCTTCATCAAATATGATAATCGAGTTTTTAAACTTAAACTCGAAAATTTCCCTAATCTTTGGATCAATCATGAAATTGTAAGGCATAAATAATAGATCTGCTCCAGAAGCTCTATCTTTACTACCAAAATAAGGGCAAATAACCATTTCTTATCCTAATCAGCATAATTCTTCAATATCTAATGGTTCCCAAGGAAGATTTCTAACTGCATATTCTCTGTTCTTTCCATAAGTGCAACTTTAATTTGAGCTTTTAATTGCTTTTTTGCAGGCTAAATTCAATGCGAAACCCTGATAATGTTATGATAAAAGATATTACGCTTAGATTCTTGAACTCTTCATGAACACAAAGATGATCTCTTGATGCTAGCAATAAACTTCTGGGATTATATGCAGTACTTTTTAGTTCCTTTTGCACTTATGCCAATTATGAGTGAGTTCTTGAAGTATATATTATTTGAATTGGCTCAACATATCCTTTACCATTTGTTTTCAAGCTTGTAGTATATTATCTTTTCCTCTCATACTTTAGCCAGGCTAATGAAGCACAAAGCAAAGAAAGAGTTTTGCCAGTTCCAGTAGGACTTTCAAGAAGTGCATTTTCACCATTATTTAGAGCATTTATTAAGCGAGTCATAAAATCTACTTGACTTTCATATGGTTTAAAAGGGAATATTATATCTATTCCATTTGTTTAGAAGGAGTACTGTTCATTAATTATCTCTTTAGATTTCACTAGCAATATTAAAATGGATATTATTTACTATCAAGACGAAATGGTGGCTTTAATGAATGCTTTTTATTAGCATCTTTATATCTTATCCTCCTTTCAAAATGACTATACCTTTTAGGTCAGCTGATGTTGAGATCATTTGATTAATCTTTGTTTTATTCAATGGCTTTGCTTTCTATCTCGTCATTAGATGAATCTTGACTTCTTAATTCTAATTTATCCTCAATATTTTAATCGTCTATAGACCCTTCTTGAGAGCTTTACTTATTTATTACAGCCTAACTTACTTCTAAGGAATCTTCTTCAAATGGACTAAAATAGTAAGAGAATAATATAACTACTTACATTAATTCTTTTAATTATTCAGGCTGGGTGTATGCAAAATGATTCTCAGTTAATTTACTACTCTCTCTGCTATCCATAAATTTGAAAATCTCAGATGACTAATTAGTGAATATATTCATAGGAATGGACATGCTCTCACTACTTCTTATTAGAGAAAGCATTGCATTATTACTAAGCTAGAGTGAACTTTCATCCTTTTCCTCATCATCTTTCTCATAGGACAACTTCATTACTTTTCCAAATTTTTAAAATTAAACTATTCAAAAATGTGTCAAAAGATTTTTTTAGCATATATTTTTAATTTCACTGAATTCATCTATTTTTGGTTCAGGGGTTTTGGGGTTTTGGGG